GCCCCCCCCCCCCCCCTCCCGAACCTTCATCATACAGTGACATTTGCTCGCCCTGCGAGGCCTGTGGCCAAAGGGGTGCCGCATTTTAATGGAGAGCCACGTTCCGCATAGTGCCTGAGACGTCACGTTAACTAGCTCCTTGGATATCTAGTATGTCACTGTAATTGCGTATCATGTGACCCATTTGCTGAAAAAAGGATATATCTGATTTCTTTAAACACACAATAACATATAGTGTGTTTATTACGTGTCTTCTTACTGTGTGTGTTCATGATCAAATTTAATGCACAGGGGGAGGGGGAGGGGTGCTTGAATGGTTTTCACAAACATGCCTTTGATGTGGAGAACGTCACTGGCACAGATAGACGGCTCAGCCGAGGGCCAAACAGTGACGGAGTGATTCTGCCGTCATTCTCTTGCCTGCTCCACCTCTCTGCTCATTGGCAGACTCCACTGACCAATCTGTTCCACGTGAAATCAAATGCGGTTCTCATATCCATGCAGGGGTGGGGCCACTGCGACACTGGCCCCATCTGAAAGCTAATTGGCTCTGATAGCACCACCTCCCCTGTCATTCACTGACATAAAACATATGATTGGCTAATGATATGTTTACCCCCCTCTATATGAATTTTGGCCCCTCTTATGCCTAGAATCACCCATCTATGCATGCCATAAAATGCAGGGTTTTCTGGTAAACAAACTGGAATGTTACCAGTCAAAAAGCATTTCCAACAGGTTGCCAGGAACAGACTTGATCCCTTTCACTGGGTTCCATTACACAGTTCATTAAAGGCGGCGTTGTCAAGCAGAGGACTGTGATATGAAATATTCCTCTTATGATAATGCGAACGCACAATAGGAAAAAAAAAAATGACCTCAGTGTTGGCAGTTCTGTGAAATTCACATTTCATCATTACAAATTAGCACTATCTGCGATTGTTCGCTTTTCAATTAGCGCCAAGCTAATTGTTTGCTGAGTGACAGCTCCAGAGGCTAAGCTAAAAAAAAAAACAATCTTAAACATCTGGTTATCAAAAATTAATTGCTTTTTTTTTTTTTTATTCCACTCTGATGGGGAGCATTTTCCCGCGTTTCGATTCGCTTTATCTTGAAGTGAGCCGTCAGCTATAGATACCGGTCCGGTGAAGTGTGACAGACTCACCGAGCCCCTCAATGCACCATCAACACCAGGCAGTGTGGACAAGGCACATTGTCACGTAGTAAAATAACAGGATTGACACCCCCTACCACCCAAAATAATTTGCATTACCAATCAGGCACGTAGCCAGGTAGTTAAATTACAAGTCTGAACTCCCCTTGAAATCTGGTTTAGGCCCCTGGTTGGCAAAATGTATGGGAGGGAGGGCATGGAGGAAGTTGGCAGAATTCCTGCCTGCGGGTTTGGTGTAAACTGACTCATTGAGACAAAACCTTACACTGGTATGAAATGCTTCATTTGCCCTTTGCTCAGGCGGAATTCTTTTGCATATCTCATTTTTCCTTCCTTCGAGACACACACAGAAGCCCAGGATCCAGACCCAACAGATATGTGACTGTCCTGCCAACAACGGGACTCAAACTAACAACCTTCCAATCACAGGCACAGATGTCTAGTCCACTGAGGCAGACGCCCCCCCCATATATGCATATCGCTCTCCCCACCTCCTCAGACAATGCCTGCAATAAGTGTCTGTTAATTTCTGCTTCTCTGTCACATTTTGTGTTTTTAATGCAGCATTCAATAACCACATATACACCAAATTAGAAAGTTATTACAGGAACAAGTACAGCAGCGAACGCTGCGGCTGTTTCAGCTTTTGACAGTGTTCGAAATAAATTCGCAGCCCATCTGAGCAATATCTCCTCATTTTAAAAAGTTCCACCAGACGGCTAGCTTGAAATTCAATCACCTGCCGTGTGGTTTGTTTTTAAAACTTTGTAAAAGGAAAATTTACAGATGCAAACGAGTAGTATGTCCTTTATTGTGTGCTTATTAAGGGAGAATATTGTTTGCATTTCCATAGTTACACATTTAAAGGCTCACTGTTCTTCCTATGAGTGAGAGCAGTCTTTGACTTCTGTGATATAACGTGTGCGCTTTGTAGGTTTATGTTCACACAAACAGCATGTAGCCCATATGAAAGTGGGTATAATATAATTATGCTGTGGGGCATCCAGAGTCATTAGCCCATTTCCCTCTGGGGTGTCGCCCACAATCCCATATTCAGAATCTTCAGCTGTATGAGAATGGCCTTTGACAACTACGAAAAACACAGTAACATTTTACATTAACTGCATCTTCATAATGCATTCATAGAACATTCATAAGCAGCATGTAAGTATACCTCAACATCCTAACATACTGTACCATAACAGCTTTAGTATACATTAGTAACAAACATTATACGATTATACATATTATATTATAATGCTTGTTATTATCATATTATGTTTGTTATTAATGTACATTAAAATGTTAGGATGTTAAGGTATACTTTCATGCTACTTATGAATGTTCTATGAATGCATTATGAAGGTGCAATGAATGTTCTATGAAGGTACAGTTAATAAAAATGCTTTAAATAATACTTAGAGCACTCATGTATAATGCATTATAGATACTTTCATAATGCATTATAATGCATTCATTAAGTATTATAGACATGGTTGTAACTATTTATAAAATGGCATATCATTATGAATGCTATATGAAGCTATCATGTAAAATGCACTATAAATAACTTCACTATGCATTATAATGGCTTATACTGACCATTATAATGCGCTATGAAGATATCAATAATGCATTATGATGACTACTTTAAGTAAAGTGTTGTAAAGTGTTACCATGCTATATTATAAATATGCTTGAAAAGAATGTTATGTACTACGTAAACACACACCCTTCTGTGTCAGCCACTACATACACCTGGAACAGGGTTCTGCCCAGCTGTACAAGACCAATGTCGGAGCCAGGAGAACATTACCTCCTCCGATATGGATGGAACCTGAGTTGCTCTTGTGTTTCTTAGAGAGATGTACCACACCATGCACCTCCACCATGCAGCTCTTTCCATCCCTCTGAAGTGCTTATTCCATAGCCTGTGGCCCCTTACACCCCTCCTCCCCCATCAGCTTCAGCATCGAACCCAACTACGACTTCCTGTACATCTACGACGGGCCGGACAGCAGCAGCTCGCTGATCGGCACCTTCCAGGACAGCAAGCTGCCCGAGCGCATCGAGAGCAGCTCCAACACCATGCACCTGGCCTTCCGCAGTGACGGCTCGGTCAGCTACACTGGCTTCCACCTCGAGTACAAAGGTAGCAGAACCATGCCAAAACCCCCAGGGGCCACCGTGGAAGACTGACGCATTTATGATAATTCGGGGGGAACTTTGCATGCATTTGCAATAACCGTCCATTGATTCTGTCCCAGACTGTTCCGCAACTACTGCAAAGACAGAAGTAATTTATGAGAGATGACTGCGTATGAGAGAGACTTCAAACTTAAATGCTGTTGCATATTCATTCTGCGAAGTTGCATTTTTTTCCAGTATGTAACAGAGTGTGCCTTATTACTGAAGTGTTATGAAATTGTTACTGTTCTGTGCTGTTTGGTTCAGCCTGTAGATTGTTCAATAACAGTTCATGAGGAGCACCGTGTAGATGTTAGTTTGTGTTTGTGCATGCGCGTCTCCAGCAGGTTGACGTAGCTGTGTTTGGAAGCATGTTTCTGAACATGTTTCACGGCTGACTGCAGTTTTGGTGGGAAACCGGCTGCCGTTTAGTCGGCGCTGCATCCCCATCCAATCAGCAGGCCCCGCCCTCCCCGACTGAAAGCCCCTAATCCTGTATTTCCTTTGAAGCCAAGCTCCGGGAGTCGTGCTTCGATCCCGGAAGCGTGATGAACGGCACACGGGTGGGAAGTGACTACAAGCTGGGCTCCACGGTGACGTACTACTGCGAGCCCGGCTACATGCTGCAGGGCTATTCCACGCTCACCTGCATCATGGGCGACGACGGCCGGCCTGGCTGGAACAGGGTTCTGCCCAGCTGTCAAGGTACGTCATCGAGGAACATGCCAAGGACTGCTTGGGCCTCTGCCTTTACGATAAACCTCAGCTTAATAATAAACATTACTCTGCCATAGTTATTATAGAAGGACGAAGCACGCATGTTGTTGGATCGTATGAACGTTGGCTGGAGTGCTTAAGCCTTTTTAAGCCATTCTCCCAAATGGTGCCTGATAGTCGTCCAAATTTACGTAAACCTAAGCTTTCCTTAACCGTGCTCAGCTTCAGAATGCGGCCTGGCCGCAAGCGCGCCACGTTAGCGCCGCGCACCCATCCTCCCTAGCCTGCGGATGCCAAACCTCCCAGCATATCAACAGCCCGCTGGCTGTTTGGTACTGCAGAAGGGGCAGGTACGCTGCTACAGGCTAGCCTGCCCGAGGCTCCTCGCCAGAGGGTCCCCCGCCAGAGGCTCCCGCCTTGTTCCCTGACTCCGGCCCCCGACGCCAAGCCTTTGATAAACGGGATTCGGCTCACTCCCATGCCGCCCACCTGCGAAATGGCTCCGAGTTAGGAACTGCGCGTCAGAAAGCAGCCGGCTGCACATTACTCTGCCCCTAGACGGCGGCAGCACCGGTCAATGTAAATACAATCAGATATATACAGGAAGTAAGTAGCAAGGCGCAACAGCAAAAGGCACCATACAAGTGATGGATTCTGTGTACTTTTCATAAATATTACAGCGAGGCATGCATTCTTTGGACAAAAACCAATTCCGGTATCTATAAGTCGTTGGTGGTTTCGATGCATTATTTTGTTTGTTTGCTCCTAATGGCTTGGTGCTGGAAGCTAAGCGGGCATATCCCTGTTAAATGTAGCTTTCAGTCTGAATTATGATCAGGCACGGCGGACCCCGGTGTTTTCGAGGGACGGCGAGCTGGTCGGCGGCTCGCAGGAAGCCAGCGCACTCCGTCCTCCGCGGGGCCGAGGGCGAGCGGAGGCATATTTGCCGGCTGCGGTCTGCCCGCTCCGCTGATAACCCCCCTGCGGAGCTCGCCGAAGGTGGTTCACGCCCCCATCCCCGGGGGGGCTCGACCGAGCGGGCACCTGACATCTGGTCTCCCCCCCCCACAGCCCCATGTGGCAGCCGCTCCACAGGCACCGAGGGGACCGTGCTGTCGCCCAACTACCCCCGGAACTACACAGCGGGGCATAGCTGTGTCTACGCCATCTCCGTGCCCAGAGAATTCGGTAAGGCCGTCCCCTTTCTGCTCGCACGCTTCCGTTTTGGGAGGGGCTGCTCACATGCCTGCCTGTCTGCCGCTGCGCTATGGCTCTCCTTTAGGAGCCCCACCTGAGACGGAGCTAACCCTTGCGCGTTGCGCATCGCTGCAGCAGGAATTAGATTTCTTCCTGCTGATTAGTTTTTTTTTTTTGTTTTGTTTTCTGGAGGATTCAGGCTGCAAGGACAAAAGCACACACCTGTAACTTAGCAACAAGGTGTGGATTTGCTCACATGGAGAGTTGCACTGGACCCTCAGCTTAGTGAGAAGATTTATATCCCCCAAGCTGCCACCAGTGTCCATAACATCAGCTACCTAACCTCTGCTCACTTTACTGATCAAGATCCTGGTCATTTTAATTGCCATTGGGCAAGTTCGTTTTCCTTGTTTTGATGGAAGAAAAGATTCACCCAAGGGATCATAATTTAGAAAAAGAAAGTGCACTCAGAAAAGAGAGCACCAGTTTGTACCTTTGGTTTGGTCACTCGGGCTGTACCCTCAAGGCTCTAGCTGTAGGTAATTATACCTTTTAAGGTACAGAAATGGACTCTGAGGAACATTTTTTGTACCATTGGGGTACATTAATGTTGTTTGTACCTTGGGGAGTCCATTTCTGTACCGAATTCCAAGGTACAGTCCCAGTTTCAAGCAAAGGTATAAGCTGATACCCCTTTTCTGAGAGTGTGGTGAAAATACACCTGTAATCCTTTTTTTTCTAATGTTTCTTGATCAGCTCTTTCTTTTCAACTGTATAAACATCATAAATGTGAAGGTGAATATAACTTAAAAAGTTCGGAAGGAAGGCTGTACTCTGGTGTTTTGTCTTGCTCATACGTTGATGTCTTTGTGGCCCAGGGTCTCGTCACTCTCCTGAGTCACTTTTTACTCGCAGAAATAAAATATACTTAAAATGTAGACTGAGACCTTAGCGGCCTTAGCTTAGCATAGGTTAACGTAAACTGCTTTGCTCCCCGCTAACACTTTGCTTTTCTGCGACACCCTTTTTTTTAGCATTAACCTTTTTCCCACTGTCTGCTCTCGATCGCTGTGTCTGTCTGCCAGCTCCTGTTCCGTTCTGACAGCATAATTCTCCCAATAGAATAGCGGTAATATGCTGCTCATTACTACTGCCACTGCCGTGTCAGGAGTCATTTACGCTTACATAAATGTTTGGAGATGTATAACTGCACATACGTACGTTTATGATATTAGGTGGCGTTCTGAAGCTTCTATAATGATGTTTTGGATATCTAATAGCTGCCAGACTGAAGCATATTCAGAATAATTGAGTGGAAACCTGTCTTAAGTAAAGCCAGTGAAAATAGAGACCCGGATTTAGCTGTTCTGGATGGTGACGGCTAAGGGATAAATGAAATATGTAGGTATAGAGACATTTGAGGACTTCGCAAACTGACAGGAATTCCACAAATATAAATCACACAGAAATAACATTCATTAAAATTCCATGTGCATTCACTGTGGTAAAAGCAAATCTGTTGCCAGCTAATAATTGGCCATTATTTTGTCTCAGATCTTTTCAAATTCTGGAAGTCAGCCTTAAACACACTCTGACGAAGTATTGGTGGTAATTGTGTTCTCGGGGTTGTCAGAATTAATGATGAGCGCTGTACGATTCTGGGCTTCATTAACGTCTAAAGTCAGGCCGGATCCAGGACTTCTGCAAGGCGGCACCACACACGAGAAATGTTCAGCATCTTTGGAGGAACAATTACGAAATGTTCAGTAGCGTTGAAAATAGGTGGCAGCCTCACCCCATTTTCTAAATCCACAATGCAATAAAAATCCAAAAGTGCTTTGGTTCAGCATCGACTTTCATCGAATCCCCATGTCAGTGATGTGAGCTGCGAACATGATGTGCCACATAAACACATCCCATACACATTACATCCCATATGATATTTCTGCTTCATTATTCTGTGCCACTTTAATTTCCTGATTCAACCATTAGGTTTTATTGACTGAGTGCTGAAACTGAAAATTACAGAACGAAAGATATTCCCAAATGGCACGTAGTAACATTGTTTAATATGGAGAGTAAGGGGTGAAAGCATGATTCCAAAATGGAGAGCGATGGAATAAAACAGAGTGTTCCTCCCCATCTCGCTGAATCCTGAGCTCACTGTTATCTGTCTTTGTTCAGAAAAATGCTGAAATGTTAGCGTAGTAGCTATATCCTCCAGGTGATACGAACTTGTGTGATTTAGTATCGAAAACAATGTCATCCCAAAATGGAGACCGATGGAGCTGGAGAGAGTACTGCTTTTAATTTTGCTCCATTCTTCATTGTTCCGTCTGTTATTTGTTAGCTTACGGGTTGCTTGGGGCTAACATAAAGCATCCCTGACACCTCCCCCACCCACCAGCTATTAATCTTAATATTAATCAGCTATTAATCCAACATCATGCATCTGTGTGCCGATACGTATCTATTTACTGCTTGTGCGCGAGGTAATCAGGGGCCATTAGACAGACGATATCAGCAACATGGCTCTGTGCTGGTAGCCTTCCTCCAGAGTGTAAACATATCTAATGGCTTAAGTGGGGCTCTGTCAGGCGTCACGTGACTCTGTGACAGAGGGAGCACCAGCGAGGACTATGTGCCTCTTCCTTACCAGCCACCTGAAATATGATGTCATACATTTATGGCCATTGAGGTTGATTAACGGTTTATAAGTGGCAGAGTGACATTTTTGCATTTACATTGTAGTCATTTAGCAGACATTTTGTTCAAAGCAAAATGTAAGTGCAGCAAATAGCACATTGCAAACATACATGCCATCAAGCAGGCAACTAGGATTAAGTGCAGCTAGGCTGAGCTTCCAGTGAATACCCAGGTTAGCATATGCAGTATTGGAGCAGGAGCTACACAGCCACTTTTAGCAGAGCTGGAACCTAATAAGCCTCATGGGAGTTTTACTTGCACGAAAATGTTCTGAGGGCAGAATGAGAAATAATTGGTTCAGAGAGATAACCAATCAGATTGTAGGGGAGGCGGGTCCAAGCAACTAGAGGAGGAAGGACCAAAAAATCTGATTGGTTGGCCCCGCCTCCCATGAGCCCTAATAAGACTATTCAACGATCAAAAGTTCAACAGAACATTCAGGGAACATACAGATGTAATCAGGCTAGCAGAGGAATTCCTGGAACAGATGGGTCTTCATGCATTTGAAGGTGGAGATGACCTTCAAACACCTCAATTCTACCATTGGGGAACCACATGAGAGAACCGTCAAGTGACGTCCTTTCAAGATTTTTGCTTATTCTCTGAAGTAAATTTGAAATGAGGTAAATTTTAGGTGTCTGCCCTGAAAAATCTAATTTGCCCCTAGAACTGCAAAGCAAGGTCCGTGCCAGGACACGATATTCCTGTGTTGTGAAGGTGCTGTCTGCTCCGCGGGCCTGTTCTGTCTGGCGGTGCCGCCCTGTTAGCTGTAATTAGGGCAGACCGATTGTGGTGGAGCAGGAAGTGGCTTGTAAGCAGCGAACTCAAACATATGCATTTTGTCACGCCTGACAACGGCTTGGCAGCGGCTCGTGCCCAGACCAGGAGCTGTGGACGCGGGCCACGTCCGCGCTTCGTCTGTGATCTGTCACGCCAGGTGCGGCAGGTAGCCGGAGCCTGACCGCTCCCCAGCTGAGGGTTAGCCTACGCGGCGAGCCGGGAGGCGTGGCAGACGGCCAGGGCAGCCATGGACACTCCCCCTTCTTCCCGCGCGCGAAGCTGGGATGGAGCGAGGCCGGCGCCTCCCCGAGCACATATGTGACACGGGACACACGTATCGTGCTCATAGATGTGTTCCGTACCACCAGAACAGTGTTAAAAATGCACTGCTCTCTAGCCTTCTTTAATGTTTCATTATTCTGTCACAAAGAATGATAGCAGCAATATTTCAGACAATGACAGGTTTAGTCTAGAAGATAAATTATTCACCGTGGCCCATCGTCTGCCTTTGGCACATTCTGCGAACACACGGAGGGATGGTTCTCACCAGCTCCCGCTCCGCAGTGTTTTCTGAAAACTTTAATGATTTCTAACTGTTAAATATTGCAGGCCCAAAAAAACAGAGCGAGGGGCATCATGGGATTACAATTACAGCGATTTGTTCTGTTTGCGGTGGGCCGCCGCGGATGACACCACCGGCTTTGCGGATCTCGGAAATTCGTTTCATGATGCACGCATGATACGTACAGCATCACCTCAGTGGCCAGAAATGAAAGCCATGAATCCTTGGAGAAATGGTCTGCACATGTCTGCTCTTTCCTCACGAGGGGTTTAGTGAATCCAGGGATACGATGTTCTTCTGTCCGATATTATTAAGCTTCTGCTTAATAGTTCATGAACTTCACTTTTTGCCTTGTTGTGCTGTTCATATTGTCTTAAAAAAATTGTAGCCTGTTTTAACTTTACCAGCTAGTCTCTGCTGTAATTGCATCACCTATGATCTTCGCATGTGTTCGAAAGGGAGATTGAAGCTGCATCGACAAAACTCTGCAGATTAGCAGCCCCAAATCAATGATATAATTAACATACATATAATATCTCAGTGAAACTTCTGAGTCCTGCCATGTCTGCTGGTGTTAATGCCTAGCTATTTCTTGACTATGGGTGCTTTGTTTGTAATAACATGTTATTGACACTTACTATTTATACTGTAATGATGAACTTGTAGGCGTAATCACACAACCACCGATAGAACAATTACAAGAACAGCTTCATTTCGCTAATTACTTTTGGGCGTGGTGCCAATCAAAGCTTTTAAAGTCAGTGTTGACAGGACTGCCCGCAACACTTCCCACATGCTATCCTAGGTTGTGTTCTATGCTTTTCCTTTTGTTGTAAGTAGTTTCTTTCTGTCAGATTACCGGGTTAACGGATAGATCTCTTAGCCCAGGCCAGCATTAGCGGATCCTGAATGCAGGGCCGCTACAGTATGTACCGTGTTGTCA